GCGCGCTTCGCCCTCCCCAGTTTTGGCGTACAGGTTTACCCCTTTTCCTACATCCCAAAACCACAAAACCCCCCCCTCCCCCCCCCCCCCCCCCGCGTCGTCCACCACCGCCGAATGCGACGTGCAGGGTAAAGTCTTGGGCGAGCTGGAAGGGGGACGGGGACGGGGACCTGGGCGAGGGCCACGAGGATGTCCTTATCGTTGCCGGCGACATTTCTTCCTCCCTCGAACGATCCGCCGAGACTCTGGAGTGCCTCATGGAGCGGTACGATGAGGTGAGTGTAGTCTCTCAGCGGGGCGAGGGATGGGCCTGCTACTGCTGTAGCGGAGTCAGCGCGCGCTGTTTGTAGAGGGACACTCGTGTGTTGGTGAACCACTGCTTCGAGCACGATTGCAGCGAAAGACATTGTGCGCGCTTATGGTTTCGGGAGGGCATCGACAGTAGCGAAAAGAAAGAGAAGGTCGGGCAGGGGGGGGGAGGGGCAGGGGGGGAAGCAATGGCGTCGATACTTCATGAAACGTGCGTATTTGCAGCTTCTTCCGTGTGTGCAAGCCTATAGCACCAACACAACTCGTGCTATGGGCTGGAAACGAAGAACCTGCTGTGGGCTAGGTATACCAGCAGTTGTACCTGGAACACAGGACAGCTGAAGCGTGCAAACCAGGAGAAACTCTTGAAACACTTGTCCGCAGTATATTCACGATGATTGTGCCCCTCCAAGGAGCATATCGAAATAACGTGCACAACAAGCAATCGCTACATACAAAATACGGCGGCAGGTGTTCTTCGTGGTCGGGAACCACGAGATGTGGACCGGTCGCCGCAAGCCGGAGGGGGGGGTCGACTCCGTCGAGAAGCTGGTACAGATGCACGTCTTATGCGAGGTGGGTTGGAGGGGAATCGGTCCATGTTGCACGTAGTTGTCGACACAAAAGGCTATTCTAGCCACTCGGGCGTGAGAATTGAAAGTGTCGTCGTGCCATATATTGGTTGCGCAGACTGCACACATCAGTGTTATTCGTTCTTTGTGTTTCATGCACACACACATAGGGTTATTAGATAGACACGATAAGCGTATTTCAACGCGAGAAGAAAGCATCCACGGCTTTGAGTAAGTCTCTTTCTCACACCGGGAGATACCCCCTCCCCCCGAGGGAGGTCAATGGTCCAATGACTACGGCATGCGCGGCTATGAATATCGCCCGACCTCGCTTCCTGAACCCATCCATTCCCCCGCGCCTCCCGTCTTGAACAGAGCCTAGGCGTGAGGACCGACCCCGTGATTTTCGCAGTGGGGGGAGAAGGAAAGAGCGGGGCGGCAGCGGAGAGGGGGACGACGAGCGAGGAGAGGGGGGGAGCAATGGGGGGGCGGCAGGAGCTCGCGGTTTTTCCCCTGCTCTCCTGGTACCACGCGTCGTGGGACGATGAGCCCAACCTTCCACCAGGTGCTACTTGTAGTACAACAAATGATGCGCGCCCTCTTGCTATCGTTAACGGACCTTGAGGAACCCTCAGGAAATTGTATCGATGAGGAACCCTCAGAAAATGCGCTAACTAGCCCTGCGAGCGCTTCTCGTTTCTCGTTTGCCAATCTTACACTGCAACCTTTGGCCCACACGCACCACTCCTCGTCCCATCCCCTGGCAACATAACTGACGGGTCTTGCTGGTTTCTCGCGCATTCGTTTAATCTGGCACAATCGTGCAGAGCTTCAGCTACGCCGCGGGGACTTTCTTCGTCGGTGGCGAGACTACTCCTACTGCCACTGGCCGGAGGACCTTTGTAGTCGCGAGGCAAGCATGTAACACTCTTGCTGCTCCTATTGCTGCTGCTGTTGCTGCTGCTGCTACTTGGAACGAAGCAGCGGTGGTATGTTGTCACGCTTACTCAGATGATGGTGGTATGGAGTGGAGGGTTTTGCGATATGCTCAATATATTTGGATGCTTGTGCTGCCTGTGTTTCTACAGTAGAGAGCTAGTGTTCCTTTTTTTTTCCATTTAACTTATCCGCAAGAAGTAAGCTTTACCCGCCCCGCTCCATGCCTGTGCACCTTTGCGATGACAAAGAGTGACGAGGTACCCAGACAACGAACCTAACGGTATTAATCAGAGCCTAGGTTCCGATATTTCGTCCGCTGCATTCCGTGTACGCGGGCACCTAATGATACCAGCCATCTCACCTGTTTTTTCGACACGCTTGCCCATACTCACGGGTTCGTAATCTGCATGTCTTCGGGACCGGCCGTACTCCTTCCCCCTCTCCTCTTTCTGTTGGGCTGGACGCGAATCGGGACGACACAAACGGCAGGACTTCGTAACGGTTGACCGCGACGCACCGCCGGTGATAGCAGAGTTCTTTGCTCGACAAAACGACGCCTGCATCCAGGCGTTTCGGGCGAAGAGACCGTTGACACGTAGAGCGGCGGCAGGGGCACCGCCAATCGGCGACGGGGGCGGGGGGGAGGAAGGGGCTGCTGCTGGCGTTGGGTCTGGGCCGTCGAGATCGATGTCGTCGCCGCCTACTCCGAGGAGTGGCCGTGGGGAGGGAGGGGGGGGCAGCGGTAGCAGCGGTGGCGGTGATACTACGAAGATTATCAGCTTTTCGCACTTCGTGCCCCGGCAGGAGCTCTGCCCGGAGAAGCGGCTCCTGTGGGAGCCGCAGTTGACGAAGGTGAGGTCGGTTTACCGCTTTCTGTTTGTTGTGTTGTTTGAATGTCCCGGGCGGTTTAGGGGGGGGGGGGGGCGACGCAAGGGTCGTCGAAGTGGTTGGATGTGCTCGTTTTTTGGATATTGGTGTCTTGAACGTAATATTAATAGTAGTTCTCTTCGTGGAGCCGTCAACCGAACAAGTAGGACTCAATTATTTGTATCTGAAGCTACGCGTAGCTATCGATGCCGTCCCTTGCGGAATCCGTGCACCCCGAGCGTCTTCTGCCAGTATTTTTGTTCTTGTGCTTGGAAACTCCGCTACGCACTCGGTGCTGGCTCGCACGTGTAGATCGTTTTTTGGTGCCCAAAGGTCGGGGCAGCGCAAGACCGTGATTTAATTTTCCACCGCCGTGTGGAGCATGCTGTCAAGAGGCGGCGCAACCCCCAACGCATGGCCTCGCTTATCCTTAGTCGGAGGCGTTGTGACCTGTTCGGAACCGATGCTATTAACGAAAACGCCTCCAACAGGTGATCGGGTCAGCCCCGCTCGAGCGGCAGATACGCGAGCTGGGGTCAGACGTGCACATCTTTGGGCACACTCACATCCCCATCGACATGACGTCGGAAGGGGTACGATACGTTCAATGGCCTCTTGGTGAGTGATAACTTGTTGTTGTTCTTGATGGTGGTGTTGCTATTGTTGTTGTTGCTGCTGCTGCTGCTGCTGCTGTTGGTGGTGGTGCTGTTGTTACAGCTAAAACGTATCAATCACGGGCGCCCGAACACGGACAGGGCAGGGAAGAGGGATTTAATGGGTAGCTGGACGGTGAATAATAGGTTTGCTTGCACTGCTTGCAGATCATGACACCAACGACGTCAGGCTCCAATGATCCCATGGCTAATCCTCCATCGTCTCCCTTGCGTCTGTCGCACTTTGTCGCAGCGACACCACTATCCACCGCCATCCATAATCTCACCCTTCTATGCGTTTTGCGCGCGCCGTTTTCATCATCACCTGTATTGTTGTCATCATCTCCTTGAACAAGCCACCTGAAAGAAAAGTTTTGGTGGTCTTTTTGCTCGCCCCTGCCCCGACCCAAACCCCGACCGTCGCAGGCACCCTTCGGGAGCAGTCGTACCGGACGAACGACATGCGGGAGAAGGGACCCCTCCTGGTTTACTCTCACGACGGCAGCGAGGGGGGACTCAGGCCGCCCGTGCACACCTGGTGGGGGGAGTTCTACAAGGCCTACCCGCGTGACCCACACGACGTGAGGAATCGGGCGTTTTCTCGTGTACCGTTACATGTTGTGTGTTCCTGTCGTGGGCGTGGGTGGTGTCGGTGTTGACCCATGTGGCGTAGGTCGAGCGTTCCCGCCCGGTCTGTGAGCGTGTGCGTCAGAAGGAAAAATAAGCTGTCCGGTAGCACAACGACGCGGAAGACCTTGGTGTCCTGGGGGTCGGTGTTTCCGGCCGGCCGAATCAAGGGTCTGCGATGTTCCCGTTGGTAGCGTTCCACGCGCCGGGTCCTGGCGGAGTCAATCCCTTTGCTTGTCACCAAAATCGAGTGGCCATGGAACGTGTTTCTGTCTTGGTCGAGGGCGGCCGCGGGATACTGCTGTGGAGGCGCTGGGCGCAGACGTCAGGACTTGTGTCCAATGGGAGGGTTGACAATGGCACATACACACATATACACACACACATGCACACCTCCGCGAGCGCGCTTACCCCCGCTTTACCTCCGTACCCGCTCCCTCGGTATCAGCGGAAGTACACTGCAGGGGACGTACACGTTGAGAGGGAGAAAGAGAGAGAGAGAGAGAGAGAGAGAGAGAGAGAGAGAGAGAGAGAGAGAGAGAGAGAGAGAACTTGAACGTCGAAAGCGGGCTATTACAGCAACGACAGCGAATGATGCCCAGATCTCGGCTTTACGACTGTTGGGTGCCTGTGGTGTATTCGCTGAGACTAAGCTAAGCGAAGTAAAGCGACTCGCGCCCGCCCCCCACCCACCCTCCCCGTCCCCTTCTCTGGCTTCGCAGACCGAGATACCGGAGAACACCTACGAGTACATGAGGCAAAGAATAGCGGACGGGCGGGGGCAGGCCAAAGCATCGCCTTCCTAAAGTCGGGACCGAAAGCGAAGCCCTCTGGGGCACGGTATCGTCCGGAACGTTAAAGTGTTGGGAGTAGCTGTCAAGAGTGTGATGGGTGCAGGTAGGAAGGAGTGTAAGTGCAAAGTAACGATCGGATTCTGTGTCATACTGAATTGTACTAGAGAGACGCAACACATGAACGGCAGCACCGGGTCGAGACTCCGTGCGAACCGTGCAGTGAAGGAGTGGAGTGGGAGTTGGCTTGACGCCCTCACCAGGCTTGGGCTTTTGAGACGAGCTGTAAGGCCTTGTTTTCTTTTTCTACATCAAGAGGAGCGATTTGCAAATATAGCATCGGCCACGCGGTTATATAGACATGTGCGGAGCAAGTATTGATCGATTTTGTCTAGAAATCTAGATGGGACACGGTTCGCGCTTCCTGTGCTGCTGTCTCGCAGCCTCTATCAATGGGACGGATGGAACAAAAAAACAATAAGAAAGTTAAGACATGCGCAACCACAGCAGCGAACGACAGCACAACAATTTCATCTTGGGGCGGGGGTGGGGTTTAGTGTTTTGTTCGAAAATCAAACCGCGGACAACCATTCGATTTCGACCGTTGTCCTTACATCTTGACGCTATTGTAGCGAGTCGTTCAGACATACAATGGGGCTCGGCTGCCGGGGGAGAGGGGGAAGCGTGCGAAGGAAAGACGGGGGGGGGGGGTAGACAAAGAGACAGACGCACAGAGCAGGAGGAGGTTTGTGACCGACCGAAAGTATTTTGTGCTTGCGCGAGGAAGCATTGTCGTACTCGGCCACGCTCGTTCGCGTCGACATTCCTCGAAGCGTGTCTCGAGACGTTCATGGCTTACATAGCGTGAATAACGAGTGTGGATGCGTACAATCCCACCCTTCTACAGCGGTCGGTCAAGGCAAGGAAAGGGCGAGGGACCAGCGTTCGCGCGCGTGCGAAACATTGACGTAAATGTGGGGCGGGAGTGGCGCCGATTCATTTACGCATACTAGGATCACACGAGAGTCCACGTCTTGCTCTGGAAGTAGCACCTCGCCAGCTTTTAACCGGAGGCATGCGTGCTAAACATGTGTTTTCATGCGTGTGTGGGACGCGAAGGGTTGTACTTTCCTGCAGCATCTGGCAGCTAGTTACAACATCGCGTGTTTTTGGCAACAAGCGTGCGTCAAGGGGGGCAGCTAATGTCATCCTATTTGTACGCAGCCGGCCAGCATGCGCATGCATGTCCCTCTGCGCGCGCGACTGAAGAGGATGGCGCTGCAGTCCCGTCTGAAAGGCACATTCTCTCATTTTGTTTTCATCAACCGGCTAGCGCCGTTGACGCAGATAGACGAAATGACACACACGGCAAAACACGCTTTGTAAACGTATTCTTCCACTCAACACAAGAAGACAGGTCGTGACACTTCCGCTACACCCACACTACCGGCGGGGAGAGGTGACCAAGACCAAGCAAACCGACGACGAGGCGATTGCGTCCATATGCATACTCCGTACTTTGCATCTTTTCCTCGGAACAGTCCTCCTGTCACTTGCTAGCACATACACTCGAAGTATACACGTAATAGACAACAAAAAAAAAGAGCTCTCTATCATACTTAGCTCGTATGTACTCGTGTCGTATACCCTTTCAAACCGCCTTCGGCCAGTTTCTGGTTCATCTTTGTGAAAAAGGCCGGTGAAACACCGGCATTTCGCTTCATCCCGGCGTGTTGTAGGGATGAAAGGTCAATGGTCTAACAACCACGGCATGCATTTACATTACCGCACCCCCCCGCGCGCCTAAGGGGGATGAAGTAGCATTCCAATCTACGGAGCACGTTTGATTCTCCATCCATCCACATACAATACCTACGAAATTTACCACCAAATCAAAACTAGGGGCCGTGTTCGAAGCGATATCTAAGCGTGGTATGCACACATGCTTTATCTACGGCACACTATCCTTTGAATCTCACCAACCGGAACAACAACGGAACAACAAATTACCAGATCGACCCGCTATTAGATCACCAACAAGCCTCGACGGAACTGAAGGCAGACCTGCCGCAACGGTTGCAGCATGGAAGAGAGTGGGCTAGAGGCCCTTTCCTCGAGGCTCTTTCCTCTTCTGGTGCCAACCAATCACATCACTGTTGCCTGGCCTGGCAACGACACAGCCCCCCCCCCCCCAACTACCCTCACCAAAGCAGCGTCCCCCCAAGCGGAAAGTCAGAAAAAGGGGGTGACTGCTACTGCAGCACCAGTACTTCTCCCCCCAAAGAGGCGTGCGCAGTCGATATCCAAGGGGCAACTACTGTAGCCAGTACGTGCTGCTTACGACGGTACCCACACAACAATCGCATTCACCAGGATCAGTCAGCCTCCCCCCGCACGCTTTCTTTGCCCCACCACCCTATAGACAACAAGAGCTGGTGCCCACGTCGCCTTGGGAGGACAAAGCATGCCTACTAACGTCGCTGACCGACGGAACCGGCTTCAAAATCCCTCCCCGCCATCAAGTGCTGCGCCAAATCACCATATCGGGGAGAACCGGACAAAGAGAGAGGGAAATCTACAACGCCTTCGTCAGCCCACCACACGGCCACCCCGCACGACACGTATGACCTACTTTCGCTACATACAGACAACAGCTAGCTCCCACAGGGGGGGCAATCTGTCGTCGGGGCACCTACTACTGTAGGCTCGCGGCGGCGGCGGCAGCGGCGGCGGCGGCAGCGGCGGCCGCGCCACCTGCGCCGTCAGCAGGCAACCCGAGCGCGGCCTGCGGCAGCGGCGCCGGAACTGGCGGCGGGAGAACTGAAGGGGGGGGCGCCACCGCCGCTGATGGATTGCTGTTGGTCGTACCTTCGCTGGCGGCTGTGGTCACCGTTGCAAGGGGGGCTTCTAATGCCGTCGTCGCCGCCGCCTCGGCTGCCGACGTCGCCGCCGCTAAGGACACCGGCGGCGGCGCCGCTGCCGCTGCCGCTGCCGCGGGGGCTGTGGTACCAGCTCCGGCGAGCATTAGCGGGGCCGGCGGACGTTCCTGAGAGATGGAACGACGAACGATGAACGTTGGACGAAGAAGACCGAGAGGTAACGATAAAATGAACCGAGGGTCCGAGGGCGGGGGCTGGGAACAAGAAACAGGAAGGATACGTGTTGTTTTCTTCGGGTGCTCGCTTGCGTAGCTTTCTCGTGTGGTCGGCAAATCACCCCCTACGCCAGAGATACTCTTCTTCCAGATGTATGCGTGGTGGGTCAACAGCACAGCAATCTGTACGAAATCACGCGGTACGTGGGTCGTACATGTAGCAACATGATGGTAAAATACGAACGTACACACAAGACTTGGGGACTCGGGTAGTCTCACCCACGACTAGACGGCGAGATCGCGGAAACGAAGCAACGCGTATACAGCAGCGTGCGACGTTACATAGGTTCTCCACGCTGTTCTCCCATGCAAGTGCATGGCGTGTACTCAACGGTCAACATTGTAATTACTACCTTCCTCTCGAGTCATCGACAGTAGCCGCACCCGAGGCAGCAACGCACTCCTTCGGCCTATTATTCCTATTCCGTTCCACGACCCCCCCCCTAGGTCGCATAGAAAAAAAAAGAACTTGATACCAACTGCCGCTTAACACAGTTCTCGAGGAGATACCAATGGTTCCGGTGGGAAACCAGTCTTGCCAGGAAGATTCATGCGCTGCAGCTGGTGCGTCAATGCGAAGTAATCACACAACCAATAAATTCTCTGCTGTGGTTGAACAGCAAGCAGCAGAAAGCCAAAAAAAATGAAAAGCAACCACGAGATGCAAAAAAAAAACAGTCCCCGCCCCCATGCCCCAAGCCCTGTCTCAACCATAGTGCACGCCCGGTTCAGTCATCATAATCTTCATGCCTAGCACGCACCGCCACGAGCCCCCCCCCCAACGCCGTTGCCCACCTGTTTCTTGCCGCTTCCTGGTTGGGGTGCCGGCGCGGTGGCTCCCTCTGGGTCTTGAGCCTCGAGCTGCTTGCGGTACTGGTCGAGCTCCGCCTTGGTGAGAAAGCGACCTCCCGGCCCTCGCACCCTGCGCATCGCGTGGTCATGTCGGGACTTGTGCAAGAACGTCTGCCGAAGATGAATAGGAGAGGGAGGGGCGGAGAATTGGTAGTTAGAGTTTAGAGCGGGGAGGGGGATGGTGGCCCTGAAACATCGCACACACAAAAACGTCTTCTGCCGTGAAAATCTCGTGTTGATGATACCAGCGCTTATTTGCGAGCAAAGAGACAGTCATTTAGAAGTTTCCCGAGAAGGTTTGAGGAAAACTACCGTAGGGCGGGCGTCGATTTGGCTAAATAGACTACTTCTGCACCCCTGTCTTGGCCTTGATTGCTGCCGTGTCGCAGGGTGTCGATTTGGCCACACTAACTTCTGTGTCCCTGTTTTGGTCCATGACTACTTCCGTGTTGTCTCCTGTCTTTTACCTTCCGCTGCGGGGCGACCTTACGGCGAGCCTCCAGCTTGGCCCTCGCCTCCCTCCGCTTCATGATGCGCCGGTACTGCTTCGCGTTCACGTACGTCGGTGGGTCCTCCGTGACTTGCTAAAAGAGACAAGCACACGTTTAGGAGGGACACACACGCAAATGTTACAAATTCAGCATCATGGGAACAAGAGCCGCGGAGAGAGATGGTGGTGATTGTCGCAAGGAAGGGGGCGTTGTTCCTGTTCATTTTCATACGCCGCGGTCATTGGTCGACGGGAGACGGATCCAAGAGGGATGACAAAAAAAAAAAAAGGCCCTGCCCGCAATTATGTCGGAGGTATCCTGGCGACACGTAAAAGTCGCAACCATCGAGTGCGTTTGTTCGGCACAAAATATCAAAAACTGGCGACTCACATCGGTCGGCAGCGCCACGCGGCTGTACAGAGGATACTGCTGCTGTTGCGGTTGCTGCTGCTGCTGCTGCTGCTGCTGTTGCTGCTGCAGCTGTTGCGCGATGTGAGGCATCAGCATCAGGGCCGCAGGGTTCTGCGACATCGCGGCCATGTACATGTTCTGACCTCGCCGAGAAAACAGCAACAACGACGCAACGCACGCACACGGAACAAACGGTTGTATACGGCAACGGAAGTTCGCGCGACGGCAAGACACAGGCATCGGGAGAACTGTTGTCAGCGCGACGGAGTGCGGCCATCACATGCAAAGAGTGCTACTTTCCCGGGATCGCCGCCACCACGGGGCTAGGAACGAAGGCATGAACGAGAACATGGACGCGCGGACTAAAACGTAGTTTATAGCAACACCTTGTTGCCGCTACCAAGATGCGACCAAGATGTACAGCACAAGAGCATATCCACGAAAGGGAGGTTAAAATCAGGAACCGGCTGTCTTCCTATTGGTGTACACAGTGGTACGAGTGAGTGGGCCTACAATTTTTGACGTGTTCACAGCTATCGCAAAATCGTACTGCTAGACGTGCTTGTGCTATGCACCCACTGGCGGGCGCGAGCGCAGCGTGCATCATGTAACGCACGCATAGGGTAGATAAAACCGCTTGATCGTTGCGAAATACATAAGTTGCTTCAAAACCGCCGGAAATCCGGGAGACGCAAGTCCAGGGAAACTCGAACGCAAAAAAAAAACACAAGTGCAGTTGACGTCGTCAGCAATCTCACCACAAACTGCTGCTGTTGCTCCGCCGACAGCTGCTGCTCCTCATTTCCCAGCACGCTCTGCTCCCCCGCCGCCCCTCCGGCGCCGCCGCCTTCCGGCATCACCTGCTGCTGCCCCGGAGCAACCTGCTGGGCTTGTTGCTGCAGCAACAAGAGTTGCTGAGAGACGTCTTGCGGCAATTGTGGCGCCGAGACTCCAACCGGCTGTTGTTGTTGTTGTTGCTGCTGCTGCTGCTGCTGCTGCTGTGAGATACCATTGTCCTGTAGGACGCCTGGCTCTTGCCCTTGTGGGTGCTGCTCCAGTTGGTGCGCAACCTGCTGTGCCAGGAGCGCCATCTGAGAGTTGCCGGGCATGTGCGGAGCCGCTCCCATCGTCGTCGGGAGCGGTACTTGTGTGTGCTGCTGCTGCTGCTGCTGCTGCTGCTGACTAGGGTCCATCGCGCTAACTAACTACCCCGCCCTCCGAAGCTGCGCGCGCACTCGCGTGTCCTGTCGCTGCGGGCCCGATGCCCGTCTCAATGCTGCCAAGAAGTCGGTCGCGAACAGGGCGGCAGGTAGAGAGCCGACAGGGGTTTTCAATAAACACGGCGATGTCAAGGGCAGTGCCTGATGTCAGCGTTTGCACTCCACCCCGGGTGCAAGCACGTTCACGAGGAGCGCATACTCTTCGAGGTGTTTTTTTGTCTTTTTGTGGTTCTCTCGCACCAGAAGGGGGCTTGAGGGTTATTACTCGCGTCCCTTCTTTTTCGCGACCGGAGGAATTGCCCGTGGGTCGTAAAATTACCGCCGTTGTGGTTGTGCCTTTATTCCAACAAAATTCGCCGGAAGGTTGTGGCCGAAGGAAGTCGGTTGTTTTCCCACCGCTTGCTTTCAATTCTTAACGCGAGCGGGTTCTGCAGATCCCTGGAAATGGAATAACATAACTTCAACCAATTACTGCTGTCCAGAACATATCCGATGTATGGAACGCGAGAGCAGGAACGTCCGACGCGCGACGGGCCTACTGTC